TGTTAGAAAATATATAAAACCTGGCCAAGTGACTGCTTGTTTAACCTGATATAAATATACCTTAACCTGGTAAAGGTAGTATGTTTAAAAAAGCCAAAAATATAGCAATGGGGAAATGAAATACTTCATTTTGACCAAAAGTTACTGACTATACAAAGTAGTTGTAAGAGGTAGGAGTAAAAAAAAAGGTTGGAATGTGTTATATGTTGTTTTTATGATATATTTGTTCTTTTGGGGGTGTGCTGTGGGAAATCATTTAACATTTTGAATTAATTGATAATGTGATTAATTCATACTTTAATAAAACTTAATAAATTGGAATAAATAAATCAAAGACAGACACCAATTGACTATTAAAAATTGCAGGAGTTGGCTGAGCAAAAATGACCACAGAAAACCAGAAATGGTATTTTGGGAGGTATCACAAAGTAAAAATAAGGGTTTTAGCATCTGTATAGACATGTAGGAATCCAATACAATTATTCTACTTGAGCTTAATGTATACTACAGTATGTGTGCATACACATATGTTGATGCATGTATTAATATATACATAACATGTACAGACAAAAATGCTATGTAGTTGATATGTTGACTGATAATACCAATCTCCACTTTCACTCTGCTATTTGGACCATGCCTGTTGTCTAGCAATTTCCTCACTTTTCTCATTAGTAACCCTGTGTATTTTGCTGCTGTCTTTTGTTTTTCACTATAGTAGGTAGATGGTGACTGTAGCATAGTGGGTCAAGTATAAACTCTAAAGCTGGACTGCTGGGGTGAAAAGCAGTTCTGTTACTATAAGGTGTATGATTTCACTTTATATATATATATATATATATATATAAAATGGCATTATCAATAATGCTCACATGTATTAAACTATTTATGAAACATTTAGAACAATGCAAAGGAACAATGTAAGAGTTCAGTAAGCAGTGATGGTATTAGAAGTTTCAGGTTCAGAAACTGGAGAAAATAGTGAATATCATTAATAAAATAGCAGGTTTGGGTTAAGTAAAAAATATATAAAACCTTCAATTTTGGGACATATATTTTAAATGCTCCTGAGATTACCAGGTAGAATTCTCAGGCCAAGAATTGGAAATTTTGAAATGGGAGATGGGTATATAGTTGTATTGAGCATGAATGTATAATATTAATAATTAAACTACTGTAATAGATAGGCCTAAAATAAAGAGGAGATAGCTCAAACCAAGTTTTTGAGATATAGCTACACTTAAGGACAAGAGAAGGAGAGATATCCTATGACAAGCAGGGTATTTTCTTTTTCTTTTTTTAAGATTTATTTATTTATGCATACAGAACTGGGGTACAAGCCAGAGGTTCAGGAGTGGTGACAGGCTTCACCAGAGACAGGTGGGAGCAGTACAGGTAAATTGATGAAGTACACTGCTGAGAGGAGCAGCGGGCACGTCAGGAGAGGTCTGCTGCGCCATGTGGTCTCTTACAGGGTGGGGGATCTAACTTGCAATGAAGTGGCTGTGGCTCACTTGCAGTGCAGTGCTGCATCCTAACTGACTGGGCCACCAGGGAGGGCCAGAAGCAGGGTATTTTAAGATGGCACCAAAAAAAGAAAATGAGTTAAGATGGGACTAGCAAGAAATTTAGTGATTAAAGCAGTTGTAACCACTAACAAATCAGCCTCATAGTAATAGATTTACATATTGTTAAAGAGTAGAGGTTTCTCCTTTAGAATTTACTCTTATATAGAAGGAGAGTGTAAATTTTGAGAGCTATGGGGAGAGTTTAGGTTTTTCATCTTGGAATTGTTAGCTTGTTTTGGATAAAGGATAAGGGTTGTCCGAGCTGCTTATTTGGTGAAGGTAGGTGAAGAGAATAGCGACAAATGCCAGAGAAGTGATAATCAATAGAGCCAAATAGAACCTAGGTAAATATGAAGAAGATATAAAGTATCAGGCTTGAAATGATTTTAAGACAAGAAGAGGAAATTTTGTGGCCCATATCGGACTTCAGGGTTCCCAGTAAAGTTGGAGTACAATTTATTAAAGGTTGATTTCTGGTATAAGATAGGAAGAGGCAGTGTAAATGAAGTTCTGAAGTCATTATGTATAGTTGCTTATAAGTGCGTACCAGAAGAAAATTACTGAATGATAGAGACTTGAAAGGTGAAGACTGGGTATTGTTTGTGGGAAGGGAATTAAATGAAACACAGCGGGAAGAACATCAAATATCTGAGCCTTCTCTCCCAATCTGTGAACTTGAACAATGGCTGCCTTTCAAGATGATGTCCAAGAATGGTGCTAAATTGTCTGGGAGAATGATAAGTGTAGCTAAAATTAAAATGTTTCAAAATTTATTTTTGAGGAAAAAGGTAGTATCAGTTTCCATCACAATTAGTGGAAAAGAAAATCATTAGTGGTAGAGAGCAGAATGGTACCTTTGTGGTATATAGAACAGTTTTGCATAAAAGTTCTTGGTTAGTGAATAAAACTTATTTTATTAGTCTTAATTTAAATGAGGAGTGAAAATTTTTAAAAAATGTACTTTTTAAAATTATCAACAGCCTTATAGCTTCAGTCCTTTTCATATATGTAAATTAAAGATCAATGTAATGTTTATTTATAGATTTTTTTTAAAGGATACATATTTTAAATTAAATCTTCATATTCAAAATAGTTAAACATGCCCATAAATTACTGGTTTTGGCATATATATTCAAGAAATATATTTGAAGTGTTATAAATTGCATTGTCAATTTGTTGTCATTTTAACAATTTTATTTCAAATCCTAGATTATAGCATGATTCACTATATTGTTAAATAAATTACCGAAGTGTGCATGAGAGATGAGAATAGAATGAAGAGGACAGATTAAAATCTATAGTTTATATTCATTTGTGCCTTCCAATTTTTTTGTTTCTGTTAATCTGGACACATTGAATTTGAGGTGCTGTAATTTCACAGGTTTATAAGAATTTCTAAGTCAAAATACAAAAATTTAAATGATTAAATTTCCAATTTTTTAAAAGCTATTTTTTCTTGGAATTCTGTGATTTGGTTCAACTCATGATGGTACATAAATAATTCATCTAGTGTTGACAATACTAGATTCAGGCATACATTTGCTTAGCCCTTTTGGGTAAAGATTAATTGGGTATGTAAACACCTGCAGTAGAGATAATGCTGCTAATCTTTGCTACTTGGGATAAAGTAAAACTTTGAAAACCTTTTTATTATGACATACAAACTTATATCACACGTAGAGATAAAGAGGAAAATCTCATCATCATTCTAACCCCCAGCAAATTTTTGACAACTTGTCTACTTATTGACTTGTAGTTATTTAAAAATGGGGAAAAAAATTGATTTTGACTAGATTCAACATTCACATAGTTCAAAAGAGATCTTTCCACCCCCCTCTCCCATCTGCCATTTCTCTCACTCTGTTTTGCAATTCTGTATTTTATTTTGAGGAATATGAATGACAAATTGTTGGCTGAAATAGAATTAAATAATGTGGTACAATAACTCGTTTTAAGTTTAAATACTTTTTAAACTTAATTTTTAACAATGACTTTTATAGCAACTTTTTAATACTGTTTATTGCTGAAATTTTAATAAAAGTACAGAAAACTGAAATTCCAACTCTCTCAATTTATATTTATAATTTAAATATAGGTAGAAGTTCAGAAACTGCTAATTAGTGTTTGTGTAACATTGTGTAGATTTAGCATACTTTTGTGTAATTGCATTTGGTGTTTGAGCTTCATGAGAATATGAAGAAGGTGGGTACATGTTAATGTCTTTATTCAAGATATGGATTATAGTTTGTATTTTGACTGCTGGCATATAAATCAAGTCTACTCATAACAAATTGTATGGCCTTTCACTATGACCAAAACTTTGAATCATTTGTCTTACTTTGAAATAATTTTCCTTCATTTTTTGACATTGTTATATTTTAATTGTAATGAAATCATGCTAACTACAGCTAATATATACAAAGATGCCATTCACCTTTAAACTCAAATAAATGTATACTTTATACTTTTCAGTAGAGAGAAGAAAGATATTTGTGTTCAGAGCTTTTTCACACTTTGGAAGATTTAGAAACCAATAGTAACTTAAAGAAAAGTATTACAAATTCCTTTTTTTCTTGAGCATACTTAAGACTTTTCACATTATTTTCTTATACTTTGAAGTTAAATGCTTGGATTTTTCTAAAGTGACATTATGCATTAAGATTAGGAAATCTTAAGTGCTTAGATACCTCCTTTACTAAGGAACTTTAGAGATTACATTGCTGCACACATTAGGTTTTTTTCTTTAAATAAGTCATGATCCTCTTTTCAATACCATGTGAATTACATATGTTTTTAGCATTAATAATACTTAAATTTTAGAAACAGGTTTCAGTGGTTTCTGAACAAAGAGGTATATATAGCTTGGAGACCTCTGTAATTCTATTTGAGATTATTGCTTGCATTTATGTCAGTGGCACGATTCTGTTTTATTGGCAGCTTCACTTTTTTACTATTGCTATTTCTACCTCTTAAAGGTGTATGCTTTTGTGTAGTTGCCAATTTTGATAATAGTAAATAGGTAACCAGGCTTGTAAGGAGTTATGTGTTTTATTTAAAAAGAGTCCATAAATCCTAGTGGGGAACATAGTCAGGAAAAAGTGCAGCTACAGTAAAGAGGCCTTTGACAATTATTTTGGACATGTATTGGCCTTTGCTTATTGGATTCATGGGTCAGACCATTGTTGTGACCATTAAATTGATGGGGGGTATTTTGACCATTTGAAAACTTACGCTGATATTTTTCTTGCATTTGTGTTGCTCTGATTTACTGTTAATGAGTTAGATTAAATATTAAACACTTAAGGTCATATATTTAATGTATATCTGTTATTCAGTGGTTACAAACCAGTGACCATAACAATTTAGTGAAATAACTATAATGGAACTTTTCTTTTGAATTCGGCTTTTTTTTTTTTTTTTCCTGTCTACCAGGGAGTAACTATTCCCAGTCAGAGGCGCTATGTGTATTATTATAGCTACCTGTTAAAGAATCATCTGGATTATAGACCAGTGGCACTGTTGTTTCACAAGATGATGTTTGAAACTATTCCAATGTTCAGTGGCGGAACTTGCAGTAAGTGCTCTAAATTCTCATCCTTCCATATACTGGAATACTTTTCTTAACATGTATAAAAGTTTATATAAAAATCTAGAAAGAAATTTACCACGCTTAAAATATATGCAGGAATGTATACTTCTGAAGTATCTGAATGAATTAACTAGCTTAGTTGTTTAGTGCATTGGGAAGTTGTTTAGTGCATTGGAAGCCATGGTTATAAATGTCTTTGAAACCAAATTATATTTATCAAAGAAAATTCTGTGCTGTAATTATCAAATACAGCCTAAATTCTGATCGGATGATTAAAACACCTGTCCTATCAGTGATCCAGTATGAGAGGGATTTGTCAATTTACTGGTGTTGGGTCAGAGATCAGTTTCCTTTACATTTTAAGAGGACCAAGCTAGTAAGAGTAATGTGATATGCACTATAAAAAGAAAAAGATAAAATGGTAAGACATGGTGACAAGTGCTTCACGTACCTCTCTTTGTGTTTGCCTATCAATAAAATGAAGATATTTTGATGCTGAAACTTTCTAGATAAGTGCTAAGCAGAGATCATGTCATGGATGTCTGCCTCTGTCTACTTCTCTGACACTAACCTCTGTAAGCTTACCTCAGTCACCCTAATTGCACTCTATTTCTTCGTTATTCTTGGTCAGAGTTCTTGACTAAACAGATAGGAACCTTAATACCTGGTCATTCAAGGGAAGATAGCAGAAGTATTTCCAGTCCTGTAAAAGACCAGACTATTGCTGCTTTTTTTGATAGCAGAGTTACTTTTTTTTTAATATGTGTATGTGCATTTTTTTTTTATATCATTCTTCATTTTGTGTATTTTCTCATCTTGGTTGTAATCCACATGGACTTCCCACCACCAGTTCACCCATGTGCCATCACCATAGTCCCATGTGTGCTTCCTGTCCCAGTTTTGATCCTGTTTCCCTCTCCACCCACATAGAATATCTCTGTAGTTATTCGTTGATTTTCGTTTTCACTTTATTACAATTGCTTTTTTTCTTTTTCCCCCCTGATCCTTTATGCTTCTGCTATGAGTAAAACCATCTTTCTGGCTTATTTCACTAAGTATGATCCCCTTCTGGCTCCATCTATGTTGCTGCAAAAGCATGAGTTTTATCTTTTTTGACTGTATAGCAGTTATTTTAAATTAGTTTCTACCTTGGAGATAGTATGTTTTCATGCTTAAGTATATTTTATTTATTTATATTTTGTAGTTTATAGATGAGATATTAGTTGAATATTTCATTTAATGCCTCTAGTGATATATCATTAATGTTTTACAATTTGATCGTGGTTTTAGTTTTTAAATTTTGTATTTTAAAAATGTTCACCTTTGACAGGTTATAAATCGTCATCATATCTTCCATATATTCTTAGAACAAGGCAATTTAATGAAAGACCACAGATTTATTAATATAGCATGATAAAAGCTTCTAAGAGATTTGTTGGTATTTTTTAATCTCATTGTATTTTAAAAAAGTGCGGCATGAAAGGCACTGGGCTGTTAGATATGACTGATGAGGAACTTAGATTTATAGATGAAAGGAAGAAAAAATACATGTTCTTCCTGTAGTATAGATATTTGCATTAAAAAAAGGTATAAAATATCAGTAAGATGATAAGGTAGAGAGAACACTTAGTTGAATAATCATATCTAGTATAATTTTTTTCACATTGACCATTATAGCAAAAATATCTTACTAGGTCTGTCCTGTCTGGTTGTATTTAAATGTTATTTTTCTAATTATTAGTTATTGAAACCTTTTTATTCTTTATTAGTTTTCTAGTTGTCTGTGCACAGTGATATATATGTAGTGAAGCTGTATTAATAGCTAATATAATTAAGTTAAAGGTTGTATGTATAAATGATAATTGGTATTTTCAGAAAAAGAAAATTTTCAAGGATTTGCTAAATCCATTTCATTGAATATTGAAAAAGCATACCATTTAGATTGGCATTAAAACTGAAGGAATAGGCAATAGGAATAAAACTGAAGGCAACAGAACAAGAAATATAGAGGCAGCAAATAAATTAATAAAGGAATGTGTGGCTGACTAAGAAGACTCAGAATGTAGGCATTTCAGACTTGATTTAATATGTATTACATTATCATTGATAATTTTGGATGCTTAAGCTTGTTTTTAAAGTACAATTATATAGAAAGTTGTGCTTGCTAAGAAGAAAAAAATGGTGGAAAGGAAACCAATTATATGTGATTTGCTTTAATGGCTTTAAGTCAGTTGTACTAGGGTACACAAGTGGGGTTTTTCATTGTCATTTATATTTAAATAATTTGTCACATTTTTATTCTAGTTAGTGTATAATTTATAAGAAAGGCAAGAAGAAAAAGTAAATCAGATTTAGTAAAATGAATGTTGATAATTTTGGTTTTAACATGTTTTAAATCAGGTAAAGGTGAATGAGCTATTCACATGAAGATATCCAATGGGTACTTAACAGTACTATCTAAAATGTAAGTTAGAGCTAATTTTTTGTGAAGCAGTTGTACAGAGATGGCAATTAAGACTATCATGGAAATATGGTTTGGTAGCTAAGGGAACGGACAAGGTGAGGAATTTTTAGGGCAGCAGTTGGATTGAAACAAATCAGTGAATAAAACAATAGTGACAATTTCTGCAAAGTTGTCAAGAGTTTAACAGCCATTTAAAAAAATTGAGTAATGCACTGTTATTTCTAAGTAAAGGAAAAATAATTATATCAAACATTATATCATATGTAGTATATAATATAGTATTACATATTATACTATGTTAAAAATGTCAATAATATATGATATATGAGTTTGCTCTTTAGACTATTAATATGCATATATTCAAGAAAACTTAACCTGAATTTTATTTACTATACATGGATCTTGTCATTGTTTTAGAACACAATCATATCAAAGGAAATATTCAGAATTATGTCATAAGTAATCAAAACCATACTAATGTTAGACTTCTGATAAGTCAGGTCTCAACTATCTGAAAGAGTGAAATTCATATTATAAAGAATTATTTTCTTTAGTGATTTAATAAAATCTTTTTCTCTTAAGGTTTATTAAAACTCTAGCTTAGTTTCTTGGCAGGATTATGAATAACACTGATTTGTAATTAACTTATGAGTTGTTTATATTCTAAAATTCCTCAATATACACATTTAGATATAGTTTAATTGGAATATGGCTTAAACAGTTAATTTGCTTCTGAAAGTCCCAAAGTCAGGATTATCATATTCTGAATCAGTTAAGTTTGAGTTAATAAGATTACAAGACATTTTCATCATGGCTGATTTTTATCACAGCTTTAAAATCATGCCTTGTTTGTTTGATTTTTCTTGCTAGACTTCCTAGTAAAATGTTCAGTATCACTTATTCTTATCAAATGTCTCATTGTACTTTGAATCTTAGTCAAGTAAGTGAAATTTATCTACAGATTGTTAGTATAATTTTTGGAGTGCCTTTTTCTCATAAATGTCTCACAAATCTATATTAGAATAATCTTACATCCTTTTATCAAACCTATTACTTATCATGTGTTTGTTGATACTGCTTTAGATACTGCATGGAGGAGTCATAAGGTGTTTATTAAACTGGAAATTCCTTTAGCTAGGAGAAACTTTTGGCCTTGTTGTCAGTTTTTTAAATTTTTTGATTTTTGTCATGTTGATAATGTGATGTTTCTCCCCCTTCCTTAACATGATGATTTTGGTGATGAGGATTTTATGGTTGTTAGAAATACATTTCTCATGCACTTTATGCAAGCTTAAATTTTTGTTTCTTGATTGTCTTAACATACTTCTTCCTTCAAGACTCATGTCCTAACTTCTAAAGTTAATCACCGTCTTTTTAAGAAACTCTTGGTTTTTTGTTTTTTTTTGTTTTTTTTTTTGATTCTTCAACATATTGCAAATGTACATATTCAGGTAACTTAGATTTTCAAAGTCATAGCACCTTAACATTTTATGTTTCTAATTTCTACTGAAGATATTTAGGAATAGAGTTTGAATTATTAATTTAAAAGGGTATATTTTTGAGAAGTCATATTTTATCATTTATTACATGAGCCAAAGCTAAAATAGTTGTTAAAACAAGGAGTGTATTTTGGAGGGAGGTAAAATGTGCCACAATTTTCACTAGAGGTCTGTTAACATTTCTTTGCAGACAAAGAAAGTTTTTTCTTCTGTTGTCAAGTTTTTCTTCTGTTTTATTATAATGATGACTTTTTATGCCTTTAAAAGTGAAATGTGAATTATAGGTCAAATGAATGATGTTTAAATTTTATAAAATTTGAGGCTCTGTTTATGGAATTTATTATAACTGAATTATAAATTATATTTTCTCTTATGAGCATGTAATGATTTGTATTTTGTAACATGATACTTTATAATACCACAGCAAATATTTGAAGAGTTTTTTTACATGTTCATAGAGTATGCCAAGAAGTTGTTTTAATTTTTTAATTCTTAAGATACTGTATGTGGTAATATGTCACAAACTGACATTTTGGTTAATAGTGGATTGCATATACATATGATGGTGTTCCCAGAATTCCTATTGCCTTGTATTTTATTCTAGCAACAGCTTCACACATCTCAGATTGTTTACTGTTTCTTTTGATAGCATCATTTTTCCTTGTGTTGATTTGTTCATCATGGCCCCCAGGTGTGTAAAAGCCTAGTGTAGGAGGCTATGCCATCTAGGTTTGAGTGAGTACATTCTATGTATGACATTCACAAAATAATACAATTGTCTAAAGATGTAGATATCAGGATATTCCCATTGTTAAGTGATGTATGACTGTTGGGGTTTTTAGCATAATTTTAATGAAATTAATGTTTTTTGATGTTACTATTCTGCTAGAAGTCCAAATTTGGAAAGTTAAAGTTATGGCAGTTTTTGTATTGGTTATATATATCATTTTTACCCTATTCTGACAGTTTTGTTTTACATGAGGGTTACAGAAGCAGGATTACTATTTTCTGTGTATTTGTACTATTAATCATAAAAAGTTTTTAATAATTTTATAGTTAAAGGCATTTCCTATAAAATGACACTAGTATGTATTTAACCATGCAGATCCCCAGTTTGTGGTCTGTCAGCTAAAGGTGAAGATCTATTCCTCCACTTCAGGACCCACACGACGGGAAGACAAGTTCATGTATTTTGAATTTCCTCAGCCTTTGCCTGTGTGTGGTGACATCAAAGTAGAGTTCTTCCACAAACAGAACAAGATGCTAAAAAAGGTTTGCATTTTACTTTTATTGGGAAAAATATCCAAAATTACCATGCCTTGAGGAGTAACCTCAGATCTTTTGCTTAAATCGTTTGGCTAGGTAGAAATCATCTGTAAGGAGAAATTAAAAGATGAATGTATTTGTTATCACTAATATCTTAATGAATTATAATTGGTTTTCTACTAGACTTGCACATGCTTTGCTTACTGTGCACTGATGAACCATTGTAATGTTAAATAATCTTTTTAGAAGTAAAAGACCAAATGGTATTATAATTTGAAGTGAATTTCCCTTAACTTGGGTTGTAATTTTGTGAAAATATTATAAATTCCATATATATCCCATTCTGTTATAATCTGTTTAGATACGATGATTAATTAGACTAGAGGAAGCTAGCATGGACTCATGAGTTGAAAAGAATTTTGGCCTGTATGTATAAATAATATCTGTTTCATGGTCTTGTTAATGACGCAGACCACTTTTCCTACATTTTGGGTTTATGTCTTCATCTTGCGTATTTTATATTTTGTTTCCTCAATGTACCGAGTTTAGATTTTTAGCTATGAGAGAAATAGGTTTGAAGAGGAAAGAATAAAGACTGAAAAAGTGTGGTATATTCAGGTTTAGAAAGTTAGTGAGGTTTACATCTAACTGCACTATATTTAGAGAATGTAAAAGCTTGTTTTAAAGAAGCTATCTTGGTTTGAAATATTAACTGAACATTTAAGGTATGACTACTATCAAATTTTTTAGGTAGTAATAAAAACTTCAGCTTTGTATATTTATACTACTTTGTTAAACATACTGGATAGTATGTTACCAATCTTTGAACATTCTGATGAGATTGATTTTGTTTTTTAAAAAGGTTTCATTACAAAAAATCAAACTCTACTTTGACTTACTAGAAGAAATATAATTTCCATTATCCAGAATAAAAGTAGCTGGAAAATCACAAAATGTTAAGCTGATTTTTATTTAAACCAAAGTCCCATTTCCTACTACTCTTATAATTGAAAGTTAAATGTATCTCAATAATGTTGAAAAAATCTTACATAATAATTCAAGAAGGGTTAGCAAATGTTTTAAAATTAGGGTATTAAGGGTCCCCCCCCCCCCCCAGTCATTGTAAGATTGGTACACATAAAAATATTTCGATTTGCTTTTAAAAAATAGGTACTTGTATCACTATTTCCCTATGCCTTTAGGAATGTATTAATTCTCATTTTAGTGATTATTACTGCATATTACATTAGCACAATTGAAAATTAGATTAAATATTTATCTTGAATTATTTTACATATATTTTCATTTTATGTGATTTTTTTCTTGGCTGTTATAAGTCTTTGTTGTGTTTTTAACAAAAGCTGTTATACAATCAGTACAATTATGGAATCTATGGCTTTGGGAATTTATTACTAGCTTACTGTCTTCTGACTCTAAATAAAAGATGTGTATATTGCTAAAATAATTGAAATGTACACAAATATTTTTAAAAAATTTCTCTATATAACTGCTTTGCAAGCTAGGTACTGTTAAAATAGTACAAAGAAATTTAAAACATAGATCCTTTAAGGGTCTTCCATCTTTCTTAGAAGAAAATGAAACTTGAAAATAAATTGGAATAAAAGATTTAAATAGCAGTTTAAGGTGCCAGATAAGATGTCACAAGACCGTGTACATCGTTAATTGCTAAATGATCCAAAAGGGCCAAATTCCCGTAATTAAGAAAAAGAATATTTTCTGTGTTGGCTAAGAAAGATTTGAAGGGGTGAACTTTGATACTGTTTTTGATTAACAAGACTTCATAATGTTAGTAAGAAGGGATTTTTTTTTTGATGGGCATTTTATAACATAAAAAAGGCCACCCCCTCCATATTTATTATGAAAATTTTCAAACATGCATTCGCATGCAAGCAATTAGAGCTACTTAGTGGTTTGTATTGCTGTAGAAGTAAAAATGTATCTATCCTGCCTTTCAAAAGGAGTTTGATCTTTTATAATCAGCTTGTTGGAATACAGAAAATTAAATCTATTTCTGTATTTTTAGAACATACATATAAATTCAAAAGTTAGTTGTTTTTTTTTTTTTTCAAGCTAATTCTAGATTAGCAAGGAGGTATTTTACTTAAGGTATTAGACCAAAAATAAGTTATGTTAGAACTATGAAATTACTTTTTTGGTGTAAAATGTGAATAAAGGGAAAAAAATCCTGTGAATGAGATACAGAAGAGAACCCATAGATTGCCAACTGTTAGTCTTTGTGTGACTCTATTCAATGTATCAAACAAAAGGCATTTTGTTGACTTCTAAGAGCAAATGTTGAAGGTAAGTGGTACTTTCCTTTTTTATAAAAAAATTTTTAATGTGTGATTTTTTTTTTTTTTAGGACAAAATGTTTCACTTTTGGGTAAATACATTCTTCATACCAGGACCAGAGGAAACCTCAGAAAAAGTAGAAAATGGAAGTCTATGTGATCAAGAAATTGATAGTATTTGTAGTATAGAGCGTGCAGATAATGACAAGGAATATCTAGTACTCACTTTAACAAAAAATGATCTTGACAAAGCAAATAAAGACAAGGCCAACCGATACTTCTCTCCAAATTTTAAGGTCAGTTTAAAATATTTTGAGAAAATATATTGTGTATGTTTTATTGTGACTATAGCTAGTGACAGACTTGCTTGATTAAATATTCAGTACTTTTGGAAGGAGTATTTATGTAGCAGGAACCTAAAAGTTTCTAACAAAATTTAGTATATACACAAAGTCCAAAACAGCTGTGTTTTTGTTACCCTCTTTTTGTTGTTTGATGAAAGTAAAGACCAAGATTGGGGAGGTATAAGTGAATATGAACGTGGAAGTGGGTTAGTAAAAAGTGGTAGGGAACTCAAATCACTTGGGAATGATTCATATGGAATGTTCTCACTCTCTACTCTTGTCCCTTTCCAGTTTATTCTCACCTTGGCACAGTGGTCTTAAAAATAGAGATTGTGTCACTCCTGTTTTCAGAAACTGTGGGTTTTTTGATGTGAGCTACAAGGATCTTCATAATTTAGCATAACTCTAGCTAGTATTTTCTTCCTTACTCCCTGAGTTTGATCCATATCTCTCCAGTTCTTCTCAGATGGCTAAGTTCTGTCTCTAGTCTTTCCCATTTTCTCTTTTCCCCATAGCTCTTAACATATCCTCCTTGTATTCTAGCTTCGACTTAAGTCTCATCTGCTTTGAGAGGTTGTCTCTGATCATCATCCCTGTTATTCCCTTTTACGATGTCCATCTTCAATTAAAGTGTCTTGAAATTATTTGGTTTGTCTTACTTTTATCTGTATCTGATCTGGGTATGTATTTCTATTCAATTTATGAAATGATAAAAATTCTGTGGCTAAAAAAAAATCTCATTTGTAAACACTCCTTAATTTTTTTTTGGCCTTTTTAAAATCTCCTTTTACATTTTAAATCCCACTTGCTCTCCCTTCACTAGTCTCATCCTTTCTCAAATCTTACTTTTTGGTCTTCAATTTTTATAACTTTTTTTTTTTTACAAAGTTTATTCTTACATCATTTTGCACATTTTTTTTTTTCCCATCTCGATTGTAATCCCCAGGGGTTTCCCATCACCAAATCACCCCTGTGCCACCA